TTTTTTGGTACTGGGGATCGAACTCGGGTCCTTGCACTTTCGAGGCAGGCGGTGGAACCACTGAGTTAAATCCCCGGCCCAACTATACATTCCTTTTTTTTTTGGTACCGGGGATCAAACTCGGGTCCTTGCGCTTGCGGAGCAGGCAGCAAAACCACTGAGCTAAATCCCTGGCCCACCAATTATATATTCTTTTATAAAACTACAACTTCAGTACTGGGTGATGGCTAACACCAATGGTCATGATGCCTCTTCTTCTTTCCAGATCTGTGAACTCTTACCTCCTTCAGGTACCCATTCGCGTCCCCAGTGCCTTTCTGGGGTCTTCCAGCACTTGATTCCCACAGTTCTAAACTCACACCCCTGGTGTTCCTGGTCACTGCCAAGGAGATCCCATTTGGCACCCAAACTTTACATTAGACCAGAATGTTTCCTGCTCGTGAGCTACACCGAAAGAGGCAGCCCCTGGTCATCTCCGTCTTCGATCCTATCAGCTGCACCTGCTCAGGACATGTTAGGTGCCTGGCACTTCCCACATGTTAGCTCTTACCCTCCCAACCACTTTCCCAGTGGATGAGGACAAGTCTCCTTTGGAAGCTGCACATGACCACACAGCCAGGAAGGGGCAGAGTCCACATTGGATCTAGGATGTCCGGCTCCAGCTTGTTCTCATCCACTACACTGCCTCTGAGGATGAAGAGTAGGGGCTCATTCACCTAGTTTACAGGTATTCACTAGGGCTTCCTGTCTCCTAGACACTGAACTAGATGCTGGGGTATAAAATAATAAATAAATACTTCTAGGGAAGCTCCTACCTCATGAAGAGGCAAACTGCAATACATTGTTCCATTTGGCCCCCACCAGCATCTCTACCTGTTCAAGTTCTGCCCTCTTCCAAGGACAATTTGACATCCCCCTTCCTCTGAGTGATCTTCTAGACAATCCACAATTATGGTGTATGTTAATGTGGTGTCTCAAGCAGCACAGAATCGGATGCCGTATGCCTGATTCAAGTCGTAGCTGTACCACTGACCAGCTCTGTGACCTTGGGCAGTGTATTTAATGTTTCTAAACTGCAGCTGTCACCTATCCAAGAAGGACAACTGGAACATCTAGTCATAAAGCTGTTACGAGGATTACAGTCCAGGTAAAGCTTACTCATGTTATCTTCCTTCCCGAACATCTTGTGTTCGGGGCCAGTCTTTATCACTTTATTTTGTAAAACCAAACTTTGCAGAGTTCTCTTTTTCCTGTGCTAATCTCTCTCAAAACAAACGAAAAAACCTGACAACTGTCATGGTTCTTCAAAGTACCTACTAGGTAAGAAACTCTCAAAGTGAAAAACTATAGAACTCAACTTGTTATGGTAAAGGATTAACTGCACCAACATTTATATATCACATGGAAGAAACAAAATGTACAATTAAATATTTGATACATAGAAATACTGTTGACAGTGGATAATATACTCTTGAATGAGCCAGAAGAAAGTCTAATCTGAGAGAAGGGTAATAATATTTACTGTATCTGCCATGTGAATACACTATGTTGGCACTTCACATTCTGGCTCCTGTTTCTCTGAATCCCCAATCTAAAGAGGAGCATATGGATATCTGGAGGTCAGGTTTTGTGTAGTAATAGAGCAAATGAATGGTGAGGCTGGGAATCTGTGCCTTTAACTCTCAAGCTCCTGCTATTCCCCCCAGGAGTAGTGAAGACCATGACGAAGGGTTGTTGGAGCTCAGGCCAGGGTTCTTGCCTTGATTTACCAAGGAGAACGCTCTCAGGTGTAAAGCTACAGCTCCCGGTGGCCCTCCATCCTTACCTTTGATATGGAGGGCTTTGGAGTTATATTTCGGCTTAATTCCTGAGACTCTAGTGAGGTAGAATTGGAAGGGGTTTCCTTTATCCAACATGTCCCAAATGTCCTGGCCTTCTCCTGACGTCTCATAATCATCTTCCTCCTCTTTTAGCCTATGGCTGGCAGGGGGGCCATGATTTCCAGTTCTTTGAGGAGCACCATCTTTGGGAGAGGGGATATCTTTTTCCTCTTTGACCACCACGTGCTCAGCCTGCTTTTGCTGCGTTTCTGGTTCGCGCTCATCATCACTGCTGGAGAGACACCAGCCGAGGTCTTCCTGGGAACTACTTCTCTGCTTTTTGGCAGGTGAAACCGAATCTGCGTTGCTGAATTTCACTGGTGAGATCTGCCTCCTGTGTGCAGCCTTACGAGCCTCGGAGCAGGTATAGCTCAGCTCCTTCACTGCTCCCTGCCCAGCACAGGGGACGGAAGAGGTAGAGGGCTTGTCTGGTTCGGGCTTTTCATCCTCACTCTCCTCACTACTGGATATTGTCCATCTCCCATAATTGCCTTCCTGAGACATTGTACTTCTGCAAAGGAAAGGCAGAAACATTATTTCCCATTCCCTAGCCAAATAACCTGATGGTTCTTAAATTCCCTTCAGATGAACTTCTCCACACATGCAGCCTTTGGACAAGAGGCTGAGCCCTGTAACTGTTACCAAAACCTATAAGAAGTTGAAAAATTAACAGCAAAATGTCAGAAACCCAAGAATTGAGGCCTAATTGGAGCACAAAGGAGAAAGGCTGCACTCAGGGGTGACTGCATATGAGGGAAAAGTTAAAACAGCTGAGGTTAAGTTGTTCACCTGAGCATATACTAATGGGTATTGGAAAACAGATGAATCTTGTGTTACTTTGATTGCTTGTGCCCCGTTTGGGTAAATAAAGGTGAGATAAGCCAGACACTGTGGACTCCCCTGCCTACTAGAGGCAAGAGCCCCCTGGCTACTCGCATGTTAAACTGACTCCTCATCCTTGTTTGTGCAGGGTCAGGAAGAACAAAGTACCTGGTCTAGGTCCCCCACAGGTGGCACCTGGAGCAGGAGGGACCTGAGACCTACGGCCAGCCAGGTGGGTTGGCTGCAGCAAATATCCTGGTTACTGTCTCAGCCCTTATCTTTGTCTTTCCAAAGGTATCGCGTTATCTGAGATGCCCCAGGAAAGGCAGCTGGAGCCAAGTTCCAAAACAAAACAAAATGTTTTTTATTCTTAACCCTAGAACTTCTAACAGGTGCTTGGGTTTAAAGACAATTTTGAGGGTAATTCTACGTTCAAATGTTTAAGGTCAAATTGGAACTTACAGCTCTATCCTTTATTCAAGTTAGACACCTGAAGGACTTCTGTGATGAGGTCTCAGTCTCCCAAAGAGAAGCCTCTTAGCATAAGCTTAGCAAGGCCCTCAAAAGCAATGCCAAATGACCACTTCTGCATATGCCTTCTCTCTAGGGACAGTCAGCAGTGGGTGACCCTGTCGCAGAGATAATGGGGCACCTTGAGTCGCCCCACCCAGGGGATAGGTCGCAGGTCCACTGACTTCCACCCCAGAAAAAGAAATTTCAGGATGTGTCCAGAAGAGGCACAAAGAGATGAGGCAAAAATTTAAAAATACACAAAGAAATAGAATGGAGGGAGGAGAGAGAGAGAGGCTTATGGTCTTAAGCTTGTATATCTATGGGGAGGTCTGGGAGTGGAAGTTTGTAGAACTTGTGAATCTATGGAGAGAGGGGACTCAAATTACAGATAAAAGGTGACAGCCCGTTAATGGGTGACCGCCATTGCAGGTGATAGAGCTGTGGCCCACCCGTAGGGAAAGGCCCATGGTATAGCTGAGGAGTGCTCTATTACAGGTGAATAAAAGGGCCATTCACAGGTCAAAGGCAGTGGCCCAGGCTTACTATGTCTTTAAGGACCTCAGTAATTTTTTGACTGGATTTGTGTCCTGAATGTGCAGGTTCTTTTCTTTAAAATTAAAAGTACAATTTTTAAAATTAGTTTTTCCTGTCTTCTTCCTACCTCTTATTTTTCCTATCCTGCTTCAGTACTTCCATGAGGACTCAACTAATGTGAGAAAATTCAGTCAATATTATAAATCAAGCTATAAAAACCTGCAGAGAAAGACTTGTGGTGGCCGTGTGTGGTGGTGCAAGCCTATAATCCCAACAGTTTTGGAAGGCTGATGCAGGACGACTGCCGAGTCTGAATGAAACTGTCTCAAAGTTTTAAAAAGGGGGGGCTTGGGATGCAGCTCAGAACAAAGGCCCTGGGTTCAATCCAACCCTCTTTCCTCCAAAAGATTAATAACCTCAAGCTTTATGGGGATTAAAACTTGAGAGGGACGGTGAGTCAGCAAACACCAGAGCAGGGACCCTCTTACAGGGTGAGGGGTTTTGTGGGGCTTGTAGCAGGAACTCGTGGCTATCCTGAGAGGAAGTTGTACTTTTGAAACCTGTGATCGCCCCACTGTGGTGCCTGTGTAGGTTTGCCTGTGACTGCTGGGGCCCATCGTTTTAATTACAAAACCCAAGGCTGTGCTAGACTACATCATAGAGATAATATATCTCACATACTTATTTCGGTTTTCTGAGACATGGTCTCGCTTTGTAGTGCAGGCTGGCCTTCAACTCACTATGTAGTCTAGACTGGCCTTAAACTCGTGGTCAGCCTTCTGCCTCAGTCTCCTGAGTGCTGGGATTACAAGTGTGTGCCACCATACCCACTTCACCATATTTTTTTTTGGTACCAGGGATCGAACTTGGGACCTTGTGCTTGCAAGGCAGGTGGTGGAACCACTGAGCTAAATCCCTGGCCCCCTCACCATATTTTTAATCACACTGTGGGTGATACCACAAATTGGTCCTATGATTATAATTTCAAGATACAGTAACCTTAATTTATATGTAGTTTCCTTACTATAGAAAAGAACAAAGACTCCTGTATACCTTCCTATATATGCCTGTTCTGAAGGTAGAAGCCAAAGAAACTCCAAACATATTAAACTCTAAGTATTTTACAATAGAACCTAAAACAGTGGAAAGCGGAAATTTAAATTTAGGAAAATACTGTATGTTTAATAATCAGCTCTGTGACCTGTATTGGTGTATTAGTAAGACAGAATCCCAAACCCTGACTCTGTAAGCAGTCTTTAGTGACTGTGAACTTAAATTTTCAGTTTTATCTACATTTTCTAGAACCACATGGGTAAGGTGGGGTTCCTGCCAACAAAGTAAGACAATAAAAATAAAACAAAGGCTTGAAAAAGGCATTTCCTCCAGGACAAAGGCCCTTTACCGGTTCTCTTGTATTCATAATTTGAGTGCCTGCTGACACTCAAAAATCTGCCTGAGTTGTTTAGCTAAAGCAAAGAACTCTAGCAAATACACTGATAAAATCGTGCCTCATCATTAAGTCTACCAGGTTACAATTTTTTTTTTTTTTTGAGACAGGGTTTCCCTATGCATTGTAGGCTGGCCTGGAACTCAGCCTCCCAAGTGCTGGGATCACAGGTGTGCCCCACCACGCCCAGCCACAGGTAATCAAGGCCCTTTTGTCTGTCGAAGAGGAGCTGTTGGTAAAGGTCAAGATCAATCAGGAACTGACTGGCTTTGGAGAACTGGATGTGGTCACCAGCATCAGAATTTTACTTCTTTCTCAGGATCAGGTTCCCAGCAGGCCAGAGAGCTTTTACAATTGAAGCACACAGTTTGCCAGGTGTAGATCCCAGGAGCTTTTCCTTCACTGCTGTCTCCTGGGCAGTCACATTTTTAGTTAAGTGTGCTGAGAGTGAGTGCATTACAGTAGGTAGTGACTGAGTCCAGTCCTCAATCAGGGCAGTCTGATGTTCCCCAAAGGCAGGTGCCCGCAATCTGATACTTAGTAACATCACACTATGAAAATAATTCCTTTTCCCATTTCAATCCACTCTCTGCTTAAATCAAGGGGAAAGCTGTGGTGTTGTAGAAATGCTTTTAATCTTGTTTTTGAACAAACAGCAGGCTTCTTCTGCAAGGATCTATAACGCTTTTGTTTACTGTCAGTAGAAGGTAGCTTGTGGCTCCACTACTTAAATAGCAAAATAAAATGTATTTTTAAAAGGCCATATTTATGTAAAAGTGACTGGATTTAAATAAAAATGTTAAGTAAACAACAGCATATGATGTTAACAGAATAAAACAAAAGCCAGGGAGGAAGCAGGTGAGTGAATGAAATTTGGCAAATACTGTGCAAAGATGAAATTCTAATTTTCCTGCCAAATGCCAACTCAGAGCACTGTCAGAGCTTTTATTAAGGACTTCTAAAAAATGCTGTCTTCAAATAAATAAAATGAAAAGGGGCTGGGAATGTAGCTCAAGGCCACTGGGTTTGATCTTCAGTTCCACACACCAAAACCATACCCCATTTAGATCTCTAAGTGTTTTCTCTCCCCACACTTCACCACACACGGCTGAGACAAAGTCTACGCCCCCATCAGGTGGTTCTGAGTGCCGCACTGTTGGGTTGAAGCCCTAGGCAGCCAGCTAAGGGCAAACATGGGCCCCAGTGTAAAACCCAGTCAATACCAAGTGCTAACTGAAGGTTAACTATAATGCTTGGCCTTAGATTCCTCATCTGTAAAATGGGGATCATGATTATCTCCCAGGCTTCAGCCTCTCAACACACATTTACTGAGTAGCTACTAGGTATTAAGTGCTGGGAGTCAGGCGTTAACATGTACGTTTCTGCACTAGAAAAACTTGATTTCAGGGGGAAGAGAGATCAACACATACTATTTTGAAAAACCCAAGATGATTAGATACTCACTGCATTTTACAAAGATTCCCTTACTTTGGAATAATCTCTGAAGGAAGTCGCGTGCGAGGCATGACAAGGAACCAGCAGATTAAAAGATAGAGTGAAAAGCACTTCAGGTAGAGAATCCAACCAGCCAAGGAGAGGCGGTGGGACCCGGGTGAGGGATTTAATAAGGCGAGTACCTTGGACCAGTTTACCTTGTTAGACTATTACGTTTGCTTTAATTCTGTGGGGGAATGGTTTGAAGAGAAAAGAAAGTGTCAGGGAAAAGGCTCTTGCAGGGGCTGCGAGGGTGCGGAAGGCAGAGGGCACGGAGCGGGCGGGCCGATTTAGGGGTACGCGGAGGAAGGGGGGTGTCTGCTGCCAACCCTCTCGGGCTAAGAGCTTTTTCGGGTACAAACTCAATGCATGCGCGTAACGGGACACAAGGGACCATGACCGTCCCTTTAGGGGGAAACTGGGCACAAAAAGTTAAGAGCCTGGCTGGGGTGAGCGCTCAAAATGAGCTACTGCATCTGGGGTGCGAGACGGCCGCCTCCTAAGCGAGCTGCAAGCCCTGCGGCCCACACTCCGGGCAGGAGTCTCGTCTGCGCTCAGCCTAAAAGATGCGATCATTGCAGGGAACCGAGGGGACCCTGCCCAACGCCGCCCCCACCCAGGCTGCATTCCGCTCTTGCGATCTGTCTCCAGCCTAGCAGGTCATCCATGGACCCACCGGACCCAGCGCCCAGCGCGCCGTGATCACCGCAGCAGTGAACACACTGCGCCGAACCGGCACCCTTGGCCCCTGGACACTCACCTGGGCTCGCGGCGTTCTTCGCCGCCCGGATCCCGCCCAGTGCCGCGCCTGCGCCTGAGCGCCGTTCAACCCTCGGGCCTTGGCGCGCGCCGCTTCCCCTCCCCAAAAGCCGGCTTCTGGGTCCTAAAGCCCAGCACGTCCAGAGCGACGCCTGAGTGCGTTTCGAGAGGGCACAGACGGGTTGGGGGAGTCTAGGCTCACCTCCTGGTGACTTCTAAAAAAGGAAGAAACGGGAAGGTGCTCTCTAGCTTTTCTCTCAGTTAATTAGCGAAACTCAGCCCCTTTATGTGGATTCTCAGGGACAGCTTCAGGATCCCAGGAAGCCCCAGGCAGCTTGTATTGGTGAAGGGGCTTCGGGGTAGGGGGAGATCCGCGTCCAGGAGGGCGGCCTTTAATCCTGCTGTGAAGTAAAATGTGAAATGAGATCCTGCCAGACGCAGAACCTCGAAGGTCTGTTACTTCCTTAAAACAGGTGTGTGTGTGTTCTTTTTAATTTTACTACATTGCCAAAAGAATAGAGGGGTCTGCGATAAACCCATCAGGAGAGCGGAACTCTCCCATATTACTCGCTCCTAATTCGGATTTTGCTATGGAATTTGGCCCCCACGCTGTCTTGCTGTGTATTTCTGGCGTCTCCCTCCAGCCAGACATCACGTTAGAGCGCTGAATGATGTAGGCCTGTGTACGCATCCCGACAGCGCCTTTCATTTGCTTATTCCAGGTCTCCTTTGTGCCACACACTGTACTACTTGTTGAGGTTTTTGGAAGACAACACGTTTTAAGCTGGGAAAAACATCAACTAAATGTAGTAGCTCGATCCCATGACTCTGATTTAAACAATCCTGGACTTGGCTCGACTTGTTTGGTTCTTTTTGCGTTTGTTCTCACTCTTTTTCTGTCTCTCAAGATGACTAGCCTAGCTGCGATCAAAATAACCCAAAGGAATTTACTGTAATGTCTGGTAGGGAGAATTTGTGAACCGAGACGTACTAGAGAAGCCCGTAACTGCGATAAGTACCCAGCGGCAGAGGAGAAGTTAAAGGGCTGTAGGCAGGGGGCGGAGCCAGAGCTGGGGGCGGCCTTGGAACGCCCACCCCAGTTGTTAAACAAAGCTGCTGGCCAATAATACTGCAGGATGAACGCCAGTGGTTCGCCGGCCGTCCAATGGGAGGAGACGTTGGAGTTGCGCGGCATTTCAGCTTCCTGAGGCGCAGTGGGCGTGGTCACGGTAGTTGGAGACCTGTTCTTCGGAGGGGTCCGGTACCTGCTAGTTCAGAATTGCTGGTGGCGGTTGGTCAGTATGTCTCTCTCTGAAGCTGGGGCCCGGCCGCGGACGTGGGACGCCAGCCCTTCGGAACACAGGAAGTGGGTGGAAGTAGGTGTCCAGAGGACGATTTTGAATGTCGCACTTCAGCTTGGCCCGGGGCTCTTGTCGGTTTCAGCCAGTGGTACAGAAGTGACTTGGGCGGCCCTAAAAAGGGCCATGATTTTGACTAAGCCTAGAGCTGCAAGACTCCTGGCTCCCCATCTGATGTTCTGGCTACTTCCAAGGCCCTCCCACTTTCATAGTTTATCAATAATAACTTAAATCTCTCCTCCCGTGGTTCAAAGCCAGCTCCTTTCCCTCACCTTCCTAATTCCACGACTGAGTTATGGGTAGAATTATCAGCCTAGATGTTAAGTCGTTTGCACTTTTTTGAGGGGTAGATTTTAGCTATCATTAAGTTTTCTTATGAGTTAAAATTAGGACAATGAAACTCCTTTTCAGAGGCCCTCTACTGGGCTGAGTTTTAGATATTTTGAAGCGCAAATTTTATATAAACCAATAAGAACATTTTCTGTCTTACTAACAAGATATTTAATATTCTTTAGGTATTTAAAGCATGTGATGAAGATAATAAAGGCTATTTAAGCAGAGAAGACTTTAAGGTTGCTGTTGTAATGCTGTTTGGTTACAAGCCCTCCAAGGTAGAGCTTTCTTTATGAATTTGGGAATGGGGTGGATAATAATATGAACGGGTCCTAAGAAAGAGTGTCCAGGGATAGCTTAGGATGTTTATAAAACACATTGCTGATTTATAAGCAATATCACATTTCACTAGTGCTAAAGTTTACTTTTTTCTTAAGGATCCAACTCAGGGATGAATTAAAATCTGTCTCACTTGAGCTTTGGAAATATATGTCCACCAAGCTGCCAATAACAATAATATATATAAGGTGCTAGAGCGATTTCTAGAGGGTGGGCTGAGAGAAGGCTGTTAACAGAAATTGCAGGAGAAATTCACCTAGGAGACATGCCGTCTCTTGGCTTTAAATTTAAAGGTGGTTGTGATACATACATGTAATCCCAGCACTCTGAGGCTGAGACAGGAGGATTGCAAGTTTGAGCTCAGCCCAAGCAACTGAGTGACTTAGCAAGTGACTTAGCATGACCCTGTCTCAAAATTAAAAACAATAAAATTTGAAAAGAATTTACAAGGCCAGGGATGAGCTAGGCATCATCTGTGGCACGCATCTGTAAACCCAGCACTCTGGGGACTGAGGCAGGAAGATCAAGCCCAGCCTGGGAAATTTAGGGACATAAACCCTATCTCAAAATTAAAAAGAGCTCAATGTGAAGGCCCTGGATTTAGTCCCACTGCTGCCAAAAAAAATTTATTTGTTTAAATTATAAAAGTAATACACTATTTGGGAGGCTGATATCAGAAGATTGCATGTTCCCAGTGTGGGCAACTTAGTGAGAACCTATCCCCAAATAAAAAAATAAAAAGGGGCTGGAGATGTAGCTCAGTGTTAAGCGTGCTTGTGTAGCATGTATGAGGCCATGTATTTAATTGCTAGCGACATGCACACATGTTCTCCATTCACATTGTCAAAAATTTCTCTTCTTACTAGAAGGTCTCAGTTCTCAGGTTACAGCTATTAGCCAAGTTCTTGTGTATGCTTCTAAAAATTCCCATCCATGACAAACATCTATATGCAATCTTCTATTGAAAGCATCAGGTGCATACTATGCCTATTTTAACTTGCTTTTCTGACTTAAAAATATATCAACCTACAAGCATACACTACTATCACACTTAAAAGGGTTGTATAGCATTTCCTTTGTTGTTATTTAGGTTAATTCTATTAGTTTTCATTCCTACAAACATTGCTGCAGTGGACATCCTTTTATATCTAAACACATACAGAAGCTGGGCATGGTGGCACATGGCGGTAATCCCAGCACTCAGGATCCTGAGGCAGGAGGATCACGGTGAGTTGAAGGCCAGCCTGCACTACAAAGCGAGACCCTGTCTCAAACAACAACAAACCCCCCCCCCCAAAAAAACCACCCCACATATAGACACAGATTTATGTCTTTATGGATGTATATCTTGGAATAAATTCCTAGATGTATAATAGCTAGGTTCTTGGGTATGTGCATTTGAAGTATTTTGGGTGTTGCTGTTCAGAAAAGCTTATACCAATTCACCAGTAATGACACTTGAGCTGAATTTCAGTGAGCCTCCTACTTGTCTAACAAGTTTCCTGCTCAGCCCTGTCTTTTGTGCTATTCTGCTTGCCTGGCATTTGCATTCTAGAGATGGATCTGTTCTTGTTAAGCTTGTGAGCTGGAACTAAGGAGAGTCAAGGTACCTTCCACATTCAAGAAATTGAGTTAACCATCAAGCAAAGGTAGAACTCAGGGATCTGCCTGGAATGCTTCCCTCCTTAGACTAAAGAGCTTGGTGGTCAATTATGGCCCAGCTGTTCCTCATGAGTGAGTTCTACTTTTCTGTCAGCTTACAAATGCTGCACAGCCAGGGACCCTATATTGTTCCACTTTTGCACCCTTTGGTGTGCTTAAGTGCATCACAGCTTCATAGTCAATATGTCCTGTTGACTCAGGTTGCATGAGCAGCCCACATGGATTCCAAGTGGTTTGACTATTCAGACATACTTAGGTGCTGAGAAACTGATTACTGCACTCAGAGTAGTAGTCAGGCTGGGTCTCCAAAACCACAGCTTTCCTTTTAACCTGCAGTCACTGCAGCTGGAATTCCAATGCAGATCATCTGAAAAGACTTTGAAGCAAGATATTTAACTTGGGTTCACTTGGAAAAATATTTTGTCTCATTTTGCCTTTGTGAGGAATATTTGAGGAATTTAATGACATGTACAGTGTTGTGGTAACATACTGTATATATACTTGATGAAATTTAATAACTTTTGCTTTTCATACTGGGTTAAGATTTTGAATTTTATTTTTTGGCAAATGAAATATTTAACAGACTTTGGGTCACTAAACAATAAAGTACTGACATGGCGGTACTGCATACTTATCAGTCATTTGTATAATAAATTTATTAAATAGGTGACAATATGTACCTTCATGAAATTTAACAGATGTTAAGGTGCATAACACTGGGTTTCAGAAATCCGTCCCTTCCTTCTACTGTAAATCTTTACCATAATAGTAGCTGGCTGTGCATCTCAGTACCTTTCCCTGAGGGATGCAGGAAGCAAGCTTTGTGTTTAGCCACTTGGCACAATGAATGGCAAGATGTGTGCACCTGTCCAAAAGTATCAAACTTGGATTTTCACCCACACTATGCTCTGCCTAACAGATTTTGCATATGTTTACCTGAGCTGCACACAGGATGTAATATACCCACACCACTCTAGGATTTGTTTTTTAAAAAATTTTCTTTTGATTTTTGTGGTAAAACAAATCCTATATTCATTCAGTACAATGGGACATGAAAAAACATATTTGCAAGTTTTGGAGGAGGTCAAAAGTGAATCATCAGATTACTCAGGCATGGATGATGAAGATGATCCATTATGGTAAAATACATGTTTTCATAACAGAAAAGTGATGTGGGTTTATGATGATGATGATAACTTTGACTTTGACCACGTGAGCCAAAAAGTTCCTATGACAGTGAAATGGGGCAAGAATTGACTGATACAGACACAGGGAATGCAGACCTCCTTGATTTAGATGACAAAGAAAACAGCAATGTGAGTGCATATTTGACTAGTTGGAACATTTTCAAATGGTCATGCAACCAAATGGAATGATCCAATGTTAGAACTAGCTCCAAAAATATATTAAGGACCTTGGCAGGGGTGAAACATATTGGACAGAATGCCAGCACTGCCATTCAGCATCAGAAATTGTAACAGACAAAATGGTACAAGATGTTGTGAAATACATAAAGGCTGAAATACAAATAAAACATTCTGTATGTACCAATAACCATCCTCAGAAATGTATTTATTATAACACTTCACTAGCTGAACACAAAGCATTCATAGGTCTGCCATACTTAGCAGAGCTTTCTCATGGTAATCAGCAATGTAAATGACTCATGGAAAAGTTGAGTGTGGGCTTGAGGTTTGTAGAATAACAGTAACACTGAGGAGTTTTGGTTTCTTTCAAGATTTCCTGAGGCTTGATGACAAAAGCACTCACCAAGAAAGAAAAAGAACTGATAGTCTGGCTGCTGTCTGGTCATTGACAGATTTGTGAGTAGTTGTCAAGCAATTTACACAGCATCTGAGTACATGACTATTAATGAACATTTTGCAGCATTTCATGTCTACCATAGCTTCAAGGAGTGCATACCAAAAAAAAAAAAAAAACCCTTCAAAATACGGCATAAAAATTTATGCCCTTGTGGATGCAAAAACTTACCATTCTTTCAATTTAGAAATTTATCCTTGAGCTCAGCCACCAGGTCCTTATTCATATAGTAATAAACCAAATGATGCTGTGAACAGACTTGTTGCTCCCATCTCCTAAACTAATCAGAATGTTATTTTTGACAATTGGTTTACCAGTTTCCAATTGATGTTACATTTGCTAACAGAGCATAAATTGACCAGTGTAGGAACTATACGCAGGAAGAAAGCAGAAATTCCAAATAAAATGTTGCAATTTCAAAGCAGAATTGTATAGTACAATATTTGGATTTCTGAAAGATTTACACTGGCTTTGTATATAGCAAAGAAAAACAAACTGGCACTGCTGATGTCAACATTGCACTGTGATGGAAATATTGATAGGGAAACCTTGACAAAACAAAAGCCTGAGATGGAAACATTCTACAATGAAACCAAAAGTGGAGTAGATGTTAATGAATTATGCAGCAAATATGATATCACTTGAAACACAAAGCATTGGCCAATGGTTGTGTTTTACTCAATCCTAAACATGTATGGCATAAATAGTTTGATAGTTTACAAAGAAAATAACAAGTGCAAGATACCGTGGAGAAATTTTTTTAGAAGATTGGGACTGGAATTCATAAGAGATGATTTACAACAGAAGAAAAACAAGGTGTTTCTGTCCAGGGAATTATGTAAAAAAAATTGAGTACACTGGTTAGCTGACAGGTGAACAGGCAGGCGCAGCATCTCAATGACCTCCTACAACAACAGGAAAATCAAAAAGATGTCAACTGTGTCCTACAAGAAATCATCAAGAAGGTTATACACCATGACCAAGTTGGATTCATCCCAGGGATGCAAGGATGGCTCAACATATGCAAATCAATAAATGTAATGCGCTGTATTAACAGAGCCAAGGACAAAAACTATATGATCCTCTCAGTAGATGCCGAAAAAGTGTTTGACAAGGTCCAACACCCATTCCTGATAAAAACCCTACAGAAAATTGGTGTAGATGGTCTTTATCTCAATCTTATAAAAGGCATCTATGACAAACCAACAGCCACCATCATTTTAAATGAACAAAAAGTGAAGGCATTCACTCTAAAATCAGAACAAGAAGAGAATGTCCACTGTCACTCTTATTCAATATATTTTTGGAAACACTAGCCAGAGCAGTTAGACAAGAGAAAGAGATAAAAGGAATAAGAACAGGAAAGGAAGAAGTCAAATTATCATTATTTGCAGATGACATGATGTCCTACATAGAAGACCTCAAAAATTCCAAAAGACTTTTAGGTTTAATAACC